CTGTTGGCCGCGGGTGGAAACGCTTGTCGGCTGGTTTACGGGACATCTTGCTCTTCGCGTATCTTTTGATTGAACCGTTGGATTGCCAAGCTGTAAAGTGTGCTGGAAAGCTGATACTTCCATCTTTAAGATCTCCAAATTTGAACTGGATCAGACGGTGAGAAGGCCTTCAATCGGGGGTGAACTTCTGACGGTTTGACTCTGAGCTGAAATCTGGTTTTTAATCCATTTTGTTAAGTTTTTCCTTAAGTTACCTGAAAAGAGTCTTGGAACTACAAATACTAGAAAAACGTAATAAAAATAATTAAAAGCAATTAAAAACATAGAAAAAGTATTTCAAAACGATCCAAAAAAGTGGTCAAAATACGGTGTTATCAGTAAGTCTTTATAAACTTTTAAAAATAAAATTTCCTAGAAAAAAACCTTTTTAAAAGAGAAAAGAGGATTTTTAGATCAAAAAGAGTTTTCTCTTCATCTTCCCCAACAAGCTTGGAGATTTTGAGAAAAGAGCAGTTTTCAAATATTCTAATTTCCATTCAAATTTTTAACCCTATCTCACTCTTTTTCAAAGGAGATTCCAAAGCTATCATTATCTTACACTTTCCTCAAGGTATGGATCCAAATTCTTCACTTTTTCACATGAACTCAATTTTAGGATTTCTCTAGATTCACTGGAAATTCACCTTAGGATTATTTAAGATAGTTATTGAGCTTAAAAATAGACTTCTGGGTTGTTTAAATTCATATTTTAACACCTAGATTCTATGAATTTGAGATTTTCTAAATCTAAAATCTGGAACACTTAAAAAAAGTCCATTATGGTGAAGCTCTATTGTCTAGCTTTGTTAAATCTAGAGTGATTAGTTGCTATGACTAGGTAACCTACTTAGATTTCATATAATAATCATCAAACACATCTAATTTTGAAAATTCATATGAAGAACATCATAAACCCGAAAAATAGTCATGAACTCCCTGATTAGCTTGTTTGCCTTTTGAATATGTTTGTAGATGATGTATAACCATCATTGCTCATAAGAATTGATTCAAATTGCAACCTTATTCACTTGGTTTCTCGAGAATTTGTATTTGTTTTGCAGACTATGGAACTTTCGCGAGCACGTCTCATACGCACAAAGAGGAGTGCACATGCGAAAAAGCCTCATTCCTAGGAGACATTGGATGCTTTGAATGAGACACATTTGAGCAGTAGAGCTCCTCTGGCCAACTTCATATCTGCACAAAAGAAGATCATCACAGAATATAAAGGAAGGACCTCTACATCTCGCCGAGTAGCATCACCACCTCGCAGCATCATTTCTTCGTCCAGGACTAGAGTGAAGTTTGTTGGACAGGCTCTTGATCTGAACATAAACTACTTAGAGCAGCTTGAGAAGCTCAAGATCTAGCCTACACCAGAGATTGACTACTCCACTCTAGAAATGCTTGGAATCAGAGAAGATGTGGTATGGTATCTTGATTCACTTGGACTCAGATCTTTTATGGAGCAGAGCTTTCCAACATTTGAGAGCTACACTAAAGAGTTTCTGGCTTCAGTCACCTTGTGCTACAAGAAGAAAGCCAATCCAAGAGCTCTAGACGATACACTTTCCTTCTCTATTAAAGGACTTATTAAAGAACTTTTTCTTCTAAACTTATTTTTAATGCATGGAGTATCGTCATGAACTATAATCTGATTTAGGTTCGTAGTGTTGCGAAAGTTTTCATTAGGGGCTAGATCTAGTTTGAGAAGAGTAATTCTGCCATAGAAGTGGAAATCTACCTATGAGTGAGTTGTGAATATAGATGAGCCTAGTGCAAGATTTCGTACACTCGCTTCCGGAGCCAGAGTGGAAACCTACTGGTCAAGATCGTTTTTGACAGTTGGTTATGATGACGACAGTGACATCGTCATACCTTTGAGCTCAAGTTCTAAAAGTTTTAGGTAGGATCTTTTAAATTACCTTTTAGCAATGTTTTGAATTGTTCATACCCAGAGATAATTTCCCTGGAAACCCAGCATCTCGTATTTATAAGTTTACTTCGATTTTTATTCAAACTTTTTATACTAGGTCATTTTACTTTCCATCCAATTTTCTTAAGTCTATAGATTAGGTCATTTTTAGTTTTAATCGTTTATTCCTTTTTCCGTTTACTTTAGGATTTACGTTTTTAGTGACACCCCAAAACCCCTTTTAAATATTTATTAGTTTTAAACTTCCTTGCTTTAATCTCTTTCAAAGGTTTTTACAGAAAAGATCCTCCTTCTATGTGAATTTGATCCCTAAGTATTACAACCGATTAGATTTGCATTTGCGGCTTTAATTGATTCTATTAAGATAAAACTTGTTCCCGCACTCACACTACATCAGATGACCAAAAATTACCAATAAAATTTACCTAAAATCTCTAAGGAAGACACAAACTTATTAACAAAAATCTGGTCACATTTTACTATGTTAAACATAATTTTATCTAATTTCTCGAATTTATAGATCTACTGTTTTACATCTTATGTGATATTCATTATCAATAGCACCAGACAAATATCTGAGAGCTAGACCAACACAGACAAAACATAGCAATGACTGAAGATACTGGAAAATTCTAATGCGAAGGGGGATTCTATGATGTTTGTTTTCACAATTTGGAAAATCTTTGTCATTTAAGATATGTTTGGAGCGGGGGAGATAACGTGCACTACAAACATGTGTGATTGGTTTTTTAAGAAGAGTATTACGTCATTGTAGTGCAAGTTGAAATTTGTTTTTTTATTCGGCGCTAAAGCTAACAATTTCTATAAGTAGTTGATAACTTTATGTGTCCATGAAAATTTGCTGTTAGCAAAAATAGTATTCTTTTTGGACTTTGGATCCACCACACTATTTTTAAGAATTAATATATTAAAACAAGATGTTAGCTTGCTCTAATTGTCTCTTACAGAAAGTTGAAGTCTTGATTTTTTCTCTCTCTTTGCCATTTGTGGAAGAATATATCTAATTTTGTTACAAAGTCTTTGTATATAGTTTATACAATTCAACCTTAATTAAAAGGAAATTCAGAAATAATTCAATAACTAATGTGCAACTCAATCATAATCATATATCAACAGAATTTTTTTGTATTGAAGTATTAATGTTCTTAGACTGTGCACACAAACAAAACGACTCTTAATCTATTAACAAAAAAAGAGAAGAAGAAAAAAGCTTGTGTGTATATACATATGTTTTACAGGTCAACCTTCGTACAGGTAACAGGCACCTTGAAAATTATCAGTGTCGATTCCATGGGTGATCATCATCATCATCATGAGTCTTAGACAAGGAGAGCATAGTGGTCTCATCGTCATACTTTATCCACTAAGAGAGTTTCCATGGTTACTGCCATTTCCTTTTAAACTGAAGCAGCCATTGATGGTAACTTCTCTAACTAGTTCTCTTCCACTTCCACGGTTTTCCACTCTGTCCCATTTTCTTCATTGCTTCCATCTTTCTCTTCTTTTCTAATAAAGAAGCTGATTCTCTCTCCAAGACATGCACTATACACTGCCGATATAGGAATCAACAGATCCCAAATTGTAACGATGCATTCCAACTTTAAGCTCCCATCTTTTTCTCAAACAATCCAAAACCCAAATTGGCCAAAACACAAAACACACACACAAAAACAAATTTCAAACTCAGGATCGGTTCGTAACAACCAACCATTTTTGTTGACAGATCCAACTGCAAAATCATCTAGAATCCACCGTCATAATTTTGAGATGTACTAAGACCGATCTCGTTTCTCCTCTACTTGTAATTATGTGAAAGATATTAATGGCTATACAAACCGTGAACAAAGAGAAAGAGCGAGAGAATCCGAACCTGAATCCGTAACTGATCTTATCGTAGTCTGGAAGAGATCTCCCACCTGGCTACAGAGTCCACACCTGTTTTAAAAAATCAAACACACAAGAAATCTAATTAGATCTAACTTGCAAGCTTTACAGGTGGAATTGAAACGACATGTTGTGATCAAGATCTAGGCGTATGTAATCTCACATCTCAGGTCTGGGATACATTCATCAGCATCAATAATAGCACAGAATTGAACAGAGATGAATAAATCTTAAACATTTAGATCCAATCAAAATAGGAACATACTTAGGAAGCAGACATATTTATGATCTGCACATGAATTTTATTTTTAAATAGTTATTATTACGAATTATAGAACTGTTAATTCATCATTTTTTTCTTAATTTTCTTCATTCCCATCTTTATATTTTCATAGTTTGTTATCTTCATTTTCTGTTTTTTTTCCTCATCTTTCACGTTTTTGTCGATGTATTTTTCAACATTCCTCTTTATAAGCTTTGTGCTCTTTTTCCTTTTATTCTTTATTTCTTTTTTTTTTTCATCTTCCTCTTTCTCTTTCTCTACGAGTTCTACTTCTTCTTCTTTTTCCTCCTCTTCTTATTCTTCTACTTCTTCTTCCTCCTCTTCTTATTCTTTTACTTCTTCTTTTTCTTTCGATTTTTTTTATCTTTTTTTTTATTATTTTGTTTCCTGTTTTTAATAATCTGGTGTATGTATTCTTCTTCATATACTTCGTCCATCTCTATCGTATTTTTTATGTTTTGATTTTTTCTTCTTCCTTCTACTTTTTATTTTTGTTCATCATCTTTTGCCTTATTTTATATTTATTTTCATTTTATAAATATTCTTCTTATGTCTTTTAATAAAAAAAAATGTATATATATCTATTTAGTATTACTATTTTTTTAGTTATTATAATCTATTTTTCAGGTTTTTATTTACACCAAGATTTTTTGTATTTTATTAACGACGATTTTGATTTTGTCGGAAAATTGACGATAATCCCATTAACAATGTTTTTACAATGAATATGCATGGTCATTGTAAACGGGATATTTTCTTGTAGTGTCATCATTTATTCTCAGTGAGTGAGAGACGAGCTAGCACAGATTTTTTTGTTTTTTAAAATAAAACTAGTACAGAAATTATTCATTGTATCTCTCGTAAGTGTTATTTCTTGTATTATTCTGTTTAATATAATAGTAAAAAGCGGAAAATGGAAAGAACAATATACCAACTTCAGATAACAGATGCATATTATTGTGTAATGTGAATATCTCAACCTTAGCTATGCAACTTAACATCAGGGTTCCGTATCGATTTGAGCCACATATCCGCCATAACTCTGGACGACAAGCTCCACAACAATTCTTCTTCGTCTTCTTCCTTCTCTTTTCTCTTAACAATGCTCTTCTTCTTCCCTTTCTTCCCCATTCCATACTCCACAAGCCACTGTGCTGCTGTCAACCTCCGTTTCTCCGCCGCATTCCTTTTCAGTCCCCCAACATGCAAACTACCAACCTTTAACCCTTTCTCCTCCTCTTCGGCCTGCACTGCCACTACGACAGTCCCTCCCACAGCTTCATATCTCCTTGTCGGATCTCGTAGCTGCACCGTCGCCAGAACCGTCAGCGATTTCTGCATCCGATTCTCCTTGAGCCACTCGTCGAGTGGAATGGTCGATTCAAGTGGATTCCGTTGACCTTTAGCAGCAGACACCTCGAAAGGAGCATCTTCCTCCATCATATCAGCTTGAATCTTTAGTCCTTCAATCACCATTTCCTCTAGCTTCTGTAAAGAAACGGCTAAAACCTCCTCTGCCGAATTCAGTGGATTCTCCTCCACGTTCCAAATTCCTGTCATTATCCTCTCCCTTCTTCCGCTGTTCATTGCATTAGCCATCGTTTTAACAGCTGCGACCGTCCTAGCTGCGCTAGTGTTTGCTCGCTCTTTGTTCCTCCCTTGTATAATCGCTGAAGCTATTCCTTCAAATGCCACTTGCTCCCCTGTTTTCCCCATTAGCTCGTCCATCGCCATAAGTGAAGCTATCTTCGAGTCAAATTCCTTACCCGAACCCGCCATTCTGTGAAACAATTCGAATCCAATCGCTGATCCGGCTTCTGGTAGTACAACAATCTGTTTCGAGATTTGCATCACGAGTTTAGGAGATTCTTTCCTTATGACCAGTGTGTCAAAAGGGTTCATAGAAACTAAGTAACCACCGTCTCTGGTCTGAACAACGCAACCTATGCCTTTTCCGAGATCTGAGAGGTAATTCTCAGATTCTACTTCTACTGATTCGGTAGACCGCAGCTCAGAGATCTCCATTTTGTGCTGGTAGAATTTGAGATTCTCAGTTTCTTCATCTTCAAGCAGCTGAAGGAACTCTTTTGTCACTGTCTGTTCCTCTTCATCTAGTCTTGGTGACTCTGCTTCACCTTCCGTTCCATTACTATCGTCTTTCATCATCGATTCAAGCGCTTTGATTTGCTTTGCAATCGAATCTAACTCAGTTAGTCTCATTATGTGCCGTGGATCATCAATATTAACATGTTGTTCCTTCGGCTCAACGGATCCTTCGCCCATGGTACCATCGGATTTCTCAGTTTCTATGTCGTCATCAAACTCGACTCCTTTGTCCACAACTTCAAAATCATGTTCCTGATCATCTCCTTCATCAATAACTTCTTGATCATCTTTAGCTCTCTGTTCTGTTTCCTCTGTTTTGTGCCCGGGTTTCTCATCGGGTTCATCCAGATTCAAATGCTCAATTCCTTGAAGATCCGATGCAGACTCCGCACCTGTAGCTGGGGTCCAAGCTTCGCTGCGGCTCATCATCTTAGGGCTCGGGACACTAAACGAGGTTTTCGATTGCTTCCGCCCAAAGGAACCAGAGAAATTCTTAGATTTACTGCTCGGTTTTATCCCTAATTCACCTTGCTTACTGTAAATGCCAGCTCCACCGTCTTTCTCCATTATCTGAAACCCTAATCTCAGAACCAATTCACCTCCTTTCGCTTTACCTGAAAGCCCCCAACTCATATCCCATTGCCTAACTCTAGCTCCTTCGATACTCATCTTCTCCACAGACTCTTGAATCAATTCGCTCAAATCCACAAAATGTCTTCCAAACTCCAGCTCTTTAGCGTCCACGGCGAAAAGATAAACTAAAAACGGACGAGCCTCGAACTTGGCCGGAGCACCTTTCCCGTTCGCTGGCGAGTAGTAGACGTGACATTTGATAAACAGGGTCTCCTCGAAATCTGCAGATCCTTGAGAAACCCGACACGGCATCGTCTGGACGGCTCCGTCTTTCGTTTCCTTCTTCCTCACGCAAACCCCTAGTCTTAGGCCGTTCATCGACGCCGGTAGATTCTGCGCCGCCACGACCTCGACCGATAACAAACAGCTCAGCTTCTGCATTCCGATTCGGACCAACCCGCGAATAGGTTTCCAATTCCATATCCCTTTTCTCTCTTCCTTTACATTCGATCCCAATATTGACGACTCCTCTGGTCTCTTGATGCTTCTGTTCTGATTCGTGTTCAGACTCTCTTCCTCCTCTACCTCAAGCTTCGGTCTTGAACGCCATGGAGACAGCGATAAACGCCGAGACCGCGGTTTCGGTACAGTCACATCTTCGGCTCGTCCTTCATCGGCAGACGTCACGAGGGACGGAACGGAACTGCGAGGGAGAGCGAGAGAATTAGTTCTCCGACCAACTGAAGCCTGAGGTTTTTGGTAAAGGTTTTCACTTAGGGTTTCGAGTTCAGCGAGAAGCTGCGTGTTGGAACTCCGGCTACCGGAATATTCAGCTGCCATGAATTTGGGGTTTTTTTGTCCCTAAAAGGATAAGGAGGATGAGGGTTTAATTGGGAAATCAAGAATTCGTTTTTTTTTATTTTGTGAGGTGAGAATTAGTGATAGGTTTTAGTTGTTGGTACAATCCCAAATGGAAAAATTTATTAATTCGTGAAGGGATTGGATGAGGATTGAGAATGTCGTGGCCTTGTGTCTGAGCTCTCAAACACTGAAAGAGACAACATCTGGTCCCAGATAATTTAATTGTCACGGTCTGGTTTCGTTCAACGTTTCAGATCGTTAGCCCTAAGATAGTGTGTGGTTGTTAGAGTTTGTGAGATGTTGGTATTAATTTACTCTTTATTTTTACCGTATAGAACTGGTATAACTACTGAAAATGTTAATTGCGGTTGCAGTATCGCACCCTTCTGGAAATTATCCAGAACATTAATGATCATAATATTAATAATTTTGACCTTTTTTCATTTATTAAAATATGTAATTTCTAATTTAAAGTATGTCAAAAGGTTTTTATTTGTTTTTACATATACAAGAGTGGTATCCAAAGAAATTTAAAACAGCGTATTTTTCAAATTATAAAGAAAATAAACACTAGAATAACTTCACAAATACATCACTTTGTTAAACTAACATAGTTCACATACATTCTAACTAAATTAACCTTATCGAAAGTCTGTTTTTTTTTGTTTACATAATTTCTTAACTATTTTTAATTTCTTAAAAAATAAAATTCTTAAACCTTTTCATTTATATCTTATCGAGATTTAATAACCTAATTCAAAACTTTTCGATTAAAACACAATACCGGACACGCAATTTGTTTGCGATAAGGAACGAAGTCGAGATGTAATTTTTCCACTGAGTTTTTACGAAATCGACCTGTTCTGCATCGTCTTGTTGTTCTTCCGGTCAATACAGAGCCTGAAGCTTGCATCGTTTGGTCAGAATCCTTCGTCTTCTCTGGTAAGAATGTTTCTTTGTTCGTCAATTTGTTCGTCGTTTCGTTTTCTCCCTTTCTGACTGTTTTGCGTTATTAACCGGAGAAGATTGTGTCTGTGTCGGCCTTCCATACATACATTATGAAGAATGTTCCTCAAAACAACAAATTGTCGATTGTGGGGTTTATACGTTGAAGATTAATGAATGTTTGGCTCTTGAATGTGTCATGGAAGTCCTTAATGATGGATCTGTTGTTGGGATTCAGATGAAATATGAAGCTGCGATGATGCAGGAGTTACCGGCGAAATGGTTTACCGACACACTTCAGCTGAGATGATATAACTATACTTTGATAGGACCATATTTTTGTGTTGTTGATGGTCCTTTGATAATTTGGTAGATTGGTCGCATGGACAAACCCTCCCTGCAAACATGATATTAGGCTGATTTTGTAAACTAAATGCAGGTTTAAACCTAATGGTAGATTTATTTAACAATTGGTAGAGTTGTTATATTTTCTAAGAGTAAACTAACGGTAGAGTTGTTTCAATTAATCTCTAACGAATGGTAGAGTTGTTATAATATGAATGTTATGAATTAATGGTAGAGTTGTTATACAATTGGAAACCTGAATGGTAAGTTTTCTGTAACCTATCATTGTAACAAGCCAAATGTTGTATTTATACGCAGAAAGCACAGATTCAAACCGATACAACGGTCAGACAGATACACTGTTTCATAAACATTTAATAATTGTTTCATAAGAATGGTAGACTGATGTACTTGATGTATAGTAGACTTGTATTACCAAACAACTCTATCAACATTTGAGGCTCCCAAATGAGTTATATATATATTGTATTACCAAATAAATTTATTTTTAAAAATAAGTATACCACCCGCAAATATATCTATTACATCTTCCCATAGATCTATCACAAATCACATGTCCCTTCAAGAATTTTTAAATCTAACACAAAGAAAATAAATCTACTAGTACAAAACAAATCTATTATATTTAAATTTTTGAAGAATAATTCTATTTTTTTGTCTAACAAGTCTACCGTTAAATCTAATTAAGTCTACCAATTTTGATCAACCATACCCCATCAAGTCAACTCAACTTCATTATATCTACCAGCTCGTGATAAATTTATTTTGATTACCAAGAAGTCTATCAAATAAATAAAATATCTACCAAGAAAATCAAGTTTACCATCTCGTTAAATATAAGTCTATCACCATAAGTCTACTGATGCTGAACAAATCTATCAACATCTACACAAATCTACTTCCGAAAAATAAGTCTACATACCGAAATTTTTTTAAATTTACCACCAAAATTAAATCTACCATTAAGGATGGTAGACTTTTATTTTTGACGCGTGATTGTTGCTATTGACATAGAAAAAATAATAATAATGATATTATTGTAAATACGTTTTTTCTCAACAAAGCTTGGTGATGGTACAATTGGAGTTTTTATAAGTGTTAGGTTTATTGTACTAATTTCGAGAATGTTAGGTTGTTTTACTAATTTTAGAATTTTGTAAAGCTAAAATGCAATCCTCCTAATTATAAATGGGGTAGTTTTCAAATAACCAGAATAAAAATAACTCCTGGAAGGCTGGAATAAAAAAAAAAAACAAGAGGTCATCAACGAGAAAACCTCTCAGTAAGAACCACCGTTTTGAGTGATTTATAGCAGCAAGAAACTCTAGAACGAAAAGAAGCCTCTCAAGTCGCTCTGACTATTTTAATCCAGATTTTGTAGGGTCAACAGTGAGTTAGAGAATTGTTTTGTAACAACCATAGTAGAGGATTATTTTTGCTGATTGCAAATATACTAGTTGAGTAATAAAATGACCGATTTCCCCATAATGAGCCTTTAAAATAAAAAAAAAAAAATTTGCAAATATAGTGTTAACTCGTCCACACTTCTTTTAAAGGACTCAAAACCTCCTCCTAAGATTAGGATTACAGTTTTGCTCAAAAGAAAGAAAAAAAAAAAGATCAGCATTACAGAATTAGGAAAAACATTATTTGAATATAATTTGAAACTAATCAGTTTTGAATCTTTTGATGTTGTAAAATTATATCTAAGTCTCGGGTAACTACCCTTTCAATCTAATGGGTTTACCGAATTAAAGCTTTTTTCTCTGTCGAATCCTCGTGAATGTCTTGATCCCGAAGTATCGTTCACTGATCCATCGATCTTTCTCTTCTTGCTTCCTGCCTTAGAAACGTCTTCTCTCTCATCCATGAGCGACAAGAATCTCTGCAGACGAGTAGAACGCAAGGAGGAGGAGTCATAATTCTCTCTCCCAATGGCATCATTTTCCTCACTGGGTTTTGCATTATAGAGCTGACGGATGATCTGAACAAAGTAGAGAAAGAGAGCGAGGACACACGCAACTCCGCATATGAGAAACAGCCCCCAGAAGCTTTTCAGGTGAAGCCTGTCTGATTCGAGCTCTGCGTTCTCTAGAGTGCACGCATTCTTCATTAGCCACTTATCGTGGATCCTCTGCAGATCTCCGTTCTCTGCCAGCTCCAAGATCGCTGTTGACAGATCTATTGCTAGAGGAGAGTCTCTAGGAAATGCCTAAGAAAAAACCCATTCATAGTTAGGAGATGATCATAAGAAATTAAACACACCAAACCAAAATCTTTCAAACTGAACAGAATGAACCGAACGTACTCATAATTAACAAGCGCCCACAAAGCAAATGCATTTGGAAGATACTTACAAAGCCCCAGCCACTTTTGGTGAACTCCTGACCGACGATCCTATAGGCGCAATTGCTGGAGAGGAAGAGTTCGACATAGGGACGCTCATCCACAATTGCAGCAACACCTCCTTTGCGTGGTCCATCTTTTAAAGCCTTGGCATAGGCTTCAGGTGATCCAAGCGGAACAAGCCGTGACTCTGATATGTTGAGCTCATCTCTCAAATAACGCTCTGCAAATGAACCCACCTGGTACCCGATCCGTTCATCCATTTCTCTAAGGCTGTCAATGCCCTTGATGGGCGAGGAGAGCTGCTGAACCGTCAAGATCGATGTGAGACTAGCCGTGTAGCTCGAGTTGATTATTAGGACAACGAATAGCCATATGATCAGAACCAACCGCCCAAGTGTACTAACTGTGTTCTCTCCTGCGATAAACCAAGGGAAAAGGCTCGTGTCAGAAAATGCCAGCAATCACCAGTGAGATGGTAAGTTTTCTATTCTCTTTTTTTTTTGTTTCCACGTACTATGCGCGAAAAACATGGTTGAGAAGCTAAACCTGCAGACATCAGAAAAACAGTTAGTGGATCAGCCTAGGAAAACATGAAGTTGATCGACCTCCTACAAGATAAAATGGGGTTTGCGTTTTCTTTGTAACTCTAAAATATAGTAAAACTGACCAGAGGATTGTGACGCATTGTCTCTTAGGTGGGCCTCTGAACTCATCGTTAATCCTATGCTCCAAGATCCAAACAACAATGCCGACAAAGAGAAAGCAGCAACCCGTGACTGCCCACATAAGTCGATTGAAAGGTCGGAGAAAAGCCCAAGCTCCTGAATTCAGTTTCTTAAAGGGAGCAACAACAACTAGTCCAGATGCTGCATACGGTTGTGTAAAATCTACAATCTTTGTCCGGTTTGTTACGATGGCAACATCACCCACTACCCCATCGAAATTCTGCAGTAATTTCATTTTAAAAGTAAGGAGCAATGAAAACGAAACCAAAAACTGTAGCGGAAAAAAACTTATACTAGAAAGAATGTAATGTGCACTCACACCAGTTGTTATCATCTCAACCATATGCGTGTAGCTCGGATTCTCCTTTCCATCTCCATAAGGAAAAAACTTGACAGGGACTGCGTAAGGTAAAAGGTTCACTGCAGCTGTGAAAACATCTATGCAGAACCCTTTGAACATATTTTCGGTTCCACGAATCTGTGACACAAATTCCTTGTAACTGATGCGACGAGGCACGCCAATCTTGAGCTCTTTCCCATTGTTTGAGAAAACCCATCCGCGTGGCTTTTGGAACGTTTCTCCTGGCCAAATAACATGCCTTAGTTTCGGACTTGTTGTACCAAAAGACATATTTGGTTGCTTATTTGTGTAGAGTGACTCAGGTGGCACAATTGATAAACCAGAATGATTCGACCAGTAGCCTATTTGGCGAACACCAGTTCCCGCCACATTTATAATATCATAAACAGGGCGGATCCGAGACCTATCTGGAGTGAACTGAAGCAGTCCTGTTAAACCGACCATATGCGTTCTGAGGATATCTTTAAGCAGAGTTTCTCCACCATCAAAGACGGTCATTGCTTCTAAGTTGAGGTTTCCGCTTTTCCCCACGGCATCAAGCATTGAGTCATTCGAAAAAGATATTTTCCCACCGTGTTTGAAGTACTTATCTAAAGCACGTGCTAAGACCAGAACCGAATCATAAGCATAGAGACCATATGTGTGAAGAGCCAAAGGAGCGCCACGTATCTTACGCCACCTCGAGAAAAACTCCCGCTTCAAATTCGAATCAGGTGTGTGCGGACGTAGAACAAGAACACCTTGAATAGTTTCCAGCCTCTCAGCGGGAAGCGGAGACAAAGAGTCAAGAGTAGTAGAAAGCCAATCCGTAGCAATCCAAACATATCCATTTCCCATCATTCCAAGATACTTGGCCTCCTTAAAAACCGCAAAACCCAATTCCGAGTAGACATGAATCACAATGATTCTAGGCTGAAGCAACATGATCTTAATAAGTATGTTCATGATCTCATTCTTGTTCGCCACATTATCCGGATGTAAACCCGCCTTGTAAGTGATTCTCAATCTCCTACTTGCAAGCTTATCGTTAAGCGCAGCAACACCATTCCTTCCATAATCATCATCCACAAACACAGCTATTACTTCTTTCCAACCGTAGAAGTCTACAATTGAAGCGATAGCATCCATCTGGTATAAATCGCTCTGACTCGTCCTAATGAAATACGGGAATTGGAGTGGCGACATTACAGGATCCGTTACAGCAAATGAGAGAAGAGGCACACGTAGTTGGTTAGCCATATGAGATATCATATGAGCAACTACAGAACATTGAGGCCCTATGATTCCAACTATGTCCTTCTCCATAAACCTCAATGCTACAACAACAAACAAATTCATTTACCAAACAAATCAACAACTGAAACATCCCAAAATAGTGATGACATCTCTCAGACAAAATGTACCTTCAACCATGCCCATAAAACCACTGCAATTGGAGTTCTGCATTGAAACCTGAAGATGTGTTCCTCGAAGGATGTCGGGATTTGAATTCACATCTTTCACTGCCTCATTAATCGCAATCTTAGCAACTTTCCCGATCACCGAATCGAAACTGAATATTGAACCGATTTTAACAACTGTTGGTTTCCCAGAATATCCTTTTCCGAACAATCCAAGATAGAGACAAGACAAGAACAACAAAGAACAGAGCTGTTTCATCTTTGCTACAAAGACAGGAGAGCAACAAAGAAAGATGCTGACTTTTTAGAAGTTAATAAAATTGACCCATCGATCGGAAGATAATTGTGATCAAGTAGGACCAAGGAAACCCAGAAATTGTGCGAATTAAGTGAATCGAACGAATTACACCTTTGATTTTTTGTTGCTTATGAAAGCCAGCTAAAGTTTTCTGCGATTTCTAATGAAATTTTTAAACCAAATATAAGAGAGAAAAGAATTGAAGAAGAAGAAGAAAGGGGCAAGAACAAAGTGACGGAATCAGATTCGCTGATGAAGTGAAGTTAATCCCAACCTCATATTCTTCAAAGAACTATGGAAGCAGACATTCACGTGTCTCTTCGCTTCACTTTTTGCTTGGGACCTTTTTAATCTTGGCTCTCTTTTCTTCCTTTTTTTTTTTGGTTAACCGTTCGGTTCGGTTCGGCGATTATCAGTCAATAATCCGTTATAAATTGCGACAACAATAATGTCACAAATCCATCGCAATTAGTGACTACATTATAACACAATTGTCACATTCTGATTTATATTATGACTTTTTTTCTTACTGAATTCTGTTACCGAATATTTCTATTTTACATTTTTTGTTTGTTGGTAAATTGTCATATTTAAAAAAATGTTACATTTATTTATATTATTTTCACAAATAAAACCATGATATAAAAGACCAATATTACAAAGTAAAAGTACATAATTAAAAAATAAGTTCATAGAACTGTTATATTTAAACTTGTGAATTAATAGCATGTCCATTAGGGGTTGGAGAAAGAACTCGGCTCGAGTTCATAAGCACTTTTGATTAAAAAAAAAGAAATAATGCTTTTATGGGAAGGATTGGTTCATCAGGACAACCCTGATGAACTCAGGTTCGCCAGATGGCAAGATATCATTGGACGAAGGTTTTTTTTAATTTTTGAATAAAAAAAAAGAAAAAAAAATTTAATATCTGATGAACCCCTGATGTACATGCTCTAAGAATAGGTTGCTCAGCATCGTCCTCCGAACCCAAGTTTGACCTTTAACGTCTTGCAGGAAATCAACATTAGCTTGACTAATGTTGCTGTTGTCTTGTCCCGAAGAAGCTTTTATCTGGTCAAAATCTTGCAAATCTGGCTCAATACCCATCTCGTAATTCAAGATTGAAGCATCTTCCCACTTGTGCTGTGATGTGAAACTTGCGAAGGTCCTGCTCACGAAACTTTGAATAATAAGAAGAGCTTCCCCAAATTTTCTAGCATATATTGTCTTCTGTTTCCACTTTTCCCAAGATCTTGTGTTCACCTATGACCATAAGGATCAAATTAGCAAAGCTAAGAACTTGAACAGAAAAAGTTTCTCACATCATAGAAAACGCATCAAAACCAAAATCTGGAATGAGATTTAAATGTGATTTACCTTCCAACATAGCACCGATATGTAAAGAAAAGGGGACCTTTAGTTCACGAATATGTTCACCCAATTGGTCATCTACCTTGATAATGTCGTTTGCCATTGAGATAGATCTTGTGGCAAGTTTAATCCTGGGTTCAAACAGTTGTAATTCAAACGAAATTAAGAGATTGAAACAATATTTTTCAAATCGAAAAAAACTTAAAAAGAATTCACTATCGTGACGACACTAACTGTTACCTTTAGTGGAAAATTTGAACCGATATCCTCTTTGTCCTTAGGGTAAGTATTTGGTCCAAACTTCTGAACCTCTCAAAGTTTCACATGTATTCAAAACAGTTTGTTTTTCTGTTTTCACCGAGAATCATCTATTCATGTTGACAATATGCAAAATCGAAAGGTGAAGAAATGGAATCAACCTTATATAGAAAATTCTTAGATAATAGAGCACCTTCCAGTTCGTTTATCCGGGAACCCAACGATTCCTCCACCTCACGAACCGTGGCCTCCTTCAGTAACGTCTGAGCTATAGAAGCGGATTCAAACGAGAGAAAGAGAGAGGGATCGAAATAATATAGTAAATCGGATATCAAAAGAACAGATAGAAAACAGAGCACCAATGTTCATAAAACACGGGTACCCGTCTCACCGGCAAAAGAATCCTCGGATGAAGAAGGGATTCTTCGGCTTGGGATGAGCAGCACACACACACAGAGAATAAGAGAGAGAAATAGTTTTTTAGCAAATATTCTTGATGATCCCCAAAAAGGTTTCTACACACCAACATATAGCAAGGACGTGTACTCTGTTATGAAAAACGACAAACAACTTTTCCGAAATATTTAAAAATGATAAAAGAAATGAAATGACGTGGCTTTCGCGATCCATTTCCCCGCATCTCAAACCCTCTCCCTGACGTAGAAGCTTTCCCTGCATCAAATCTTCCCTCCTTAGAAAACCTTGTCCTCAAGGTTTAAACTGAGGATACTTCCGCTCCAGATCAAAGAGATACTCCCACGTTGCTTCTTCTCCGGTTGATTAGACCATTTCACCAAAACCACGGGAAGAAGAGTAATCTATGATTGGGAGAGAAAAAAGAGGAATGAAGGAGTGAGATTTTGCCATGTCATCGATCCGCATGATCTCTTTACATTGGTTCTTCACTTTTATTTAGTTTTTAATTAATATTTTTTATATTTTGGACTTTATGAATTATTTATTTTCCAACTAAATTAAATTTCTGCATTTCATTTTTTTAAAAGATTTACAATGATTAAATATTTTGTATTTGGAAAATCGTTAAAAACCTAAATCTACCTAAATCCTATGCCTTATACCAATATATGTTAAACCATCAGACCCTATATATACCATATACTAAGTACCTTATACTATTAAACCATAAACTCTAAATAAAAGACTCATCAACTTTTTTTTCTATTCTATTTTGTGCTCTTATTATGAAACAATCATTTGTTGTATTTTTTTTTCTTAAGGTGAGAAATAGAAAATGATATCTTACAAGTGTGAATCCTATACCCTAAATCAAACATTTATTAATCAATCAAAAATTTATATATCCATTGTTAATAAAACTAAAAAAAATATATATTTCAAACCATATACCCTTATATCCTAAACCCCAAATCATATGCCCTATATAAATCATAGACTCACTAACTTTTTCCTCTTATTTTGTATATTGTAAAAGTTTTTCTATTCTATTTATGTTCTTATTATGAAACAATAATTTGTAATTTTTTTAATTGAGAAAATAAAAAATATCTTAAAAGTGTGAATCCCTAAACTCTAAATCAACCTATTAATAAAAAATTAGTATATTGTTTTAATAAAACTAAAAAATTAAATTTAAAATCCTATACCCTTATATCCTAAACCCCAAATTATAGATTCGTTAACTTTTTTTTTGTTCTTTTGTATATTTTAATAGTTTTTTCTATTCTATTATATGTTCTTAGTATAAAGCAATAATTTGTTATATTTTCTTATTTCAACTGAGATATAGAAAAAAAGAAAAAATGTATACCCTAAATCACACACATTAATCAATAAAATTTATTATATGTTTATTGAAAATAGAACTAAAAACAATTGATTGATTCGTTGGTTATTTCACATTTGTTAGTTTTCTGTTCATAAATGTTTACCTAAAAACTTTATTAGTTAATTATATTAGTAATGTTAATGATCCAAGATGTTCAACATACAACATCATCTTCGACTTCTCAAAATCAGCATATACACAATTGTTTAATTTTTCCAGCAACAAATCATCACAAACAAATGTTTACGAAAAAAATAAATAAATCAGAATAATCAATTCATTCAATTGGGTTTTTGGGTTTTTTTTTTCAGAAGCTACTTTTTATTTATTTTTAACTAATGTGTGATTTTCATCTTGTCACAAATGGTAACAATTGTGTCATAATTTATGACCAAAATTAAAGGTCACTAAAACAGTAATTAATTGTGATGGCGTACTTACAAATTATTTGTAACTGTAAGTGACTTAAAATTAATCACAAAAATCGTATAATTTAGTTACTAGATTTGATCGTAAATCCGTAACAATATTTGTGACTAAATATTTTGTAACAATTACGTCATGATTAGTGACAAAAATTTATCACCTTCAATTTGGTCATAATATTATAACAAAATGGTAATGCTTTTATGACTAAATAATTTCGTCACATTTTCATATAAAAATCATCACAAAATTGTTACAAAACAATTAGTCACAATTTATTTGTAACAATATTCACTTTTTTTTGTAGTGGATGGTTTACAGAGCATCTTCAATTCAAGTATTTTTGGCACATGCATAAGGCGATGTATATGGATCCAACCCATAAGACTCAAGGCATGTGGATGCTCCTTCTCTGCACAGCAAAGGCGGATAAGATGAAGGAATGTTGGTTTTGTTCTTAATGGCATTCCCATTCGCTATTCTCTTAAGGAACATGGACTCATATCTGGATTAGTCTGTCGTGTGTATCTAGAGAAATATGAGATGATGGGCAATATAAAGTTTAAGTCTAAATATTTTAAGAAAGGAATTGTCCCTTCATTTGATGTTGTTGAAAAAAAAAGCTATATAAGGTATGTGGTAGCTTCGACCAAAAAAAAAGGGGTATGTGGTAGTCCAGATCGGTTAAAAATGTATGTCTTGTTCTTTTTTGCAAGCATAATTAGTGGATTGGCGAAGACTGGAAATGGAGCACCATCGGTAAACCCTTTTTTCTAAGAATTGTAGATGATCTTGATGCGTGTAGAATTTGTAGCAAATGAATTATATATTCACTTTTAATGACTCGAACATTCTAGGGAATATTCATTCTGTTATACATACATGTGTGTATATTTATAAAAAAAACAAAAATGTCAAATTTCTAATAAAACCCTAGAATTCTCAGTTATATATACATGTAGTGTCATGTTGTGGTTTACTCCATTCTGTGCTGCGAGCTTTTTCTTTATACCTCTATAATGAACTCATCAGGTACGATGTATACTATGTATCCAATTTGATATCGTTTTGTGTTTATTAAGTTCCACTTTCTTAGTTATAGTGATTGGTAACTTAGGTCTAATTGTGTTTTGTAGGTGCAAGAACACGTAGAAGTGTTAGTCCAAACGTGTTGCCTTTCCATCTTCCTGAATCGGAGATTGTGATGACTGATGAAGGCGAAAATCCTGGCTCTATTGGAATATCTAAATTCACAGCTTGAATAAACTGCAACAAAGAATGTCCAGAAGCTAGGATGCTTTTGTACTCAGAAAATCCAACTAAATTTGTTTGGGATCGTAAGCAAAAGTTATGGAGACAACGTGTCATTGTTGACCCGGGAGTCAGCGTTAGATCAGATTGTTCGGAGGGATCTAGCGAGGCTTATTATCTCAGGATTTTGCTGGGTGTCATAA